GAAAATATATAGCTAAAATCAATATTTAAAATTTTATTGGAAAAATTTAAAATTTAAAAAAGTTTGCAGGCAAATTTGGCTGCAAAACAATTTAAGAGATATATATGCGAGAAAATCAAATCTTACCAAACCAAATATATAGAAGTTGCCAAAAATTACATCAAAATTTATGCACAATTATAACAACCTCTTTGCACGTAGATAGTCCAATCTTTAAATATGTAATTATTGCTTAATAATGAATAAAAAGCCCACTTATCTAATATTCTAAATGATAAATGCATATCATATTTCATTCACACACTATCTAAATTTTCAAAAATGAAAAAAATAAATTATTCACCATTTGGTGTTTTATTTTTTTTCTTTTTCAAATTCAAATTCAAAAAAAAAATAAATAACTAAAAGCAATGCTAGGTAATATTACTGTTTTATGCTATATTACAGACTATCGATGCAGTGTAGTCAAATCTTTTTAAATTGTTGAAGCTTTGGGGATTATGAATTCTCAAAACTCAAACTCACCCCAAAAGATTTTTTTAAAAGCTTTCTATAATCATGATTCACCTGAAGAATTTAATCTTAGCAAATTTGAAAAGAAAATGTAGTTTTTGTAATGGGCAAATTTCGAATTGTTGAGTATGCAAGTGAAGAGAGAAATATTATTAAAATTTTATTTTTTTGTAATTAACCGTATGTCACCAATTGATAAGTAAATTTATTTACTTATATAAAATATATTCTTTTTTTTAAAAAAAAATAAAAAAATAATGTTTAGATCATTATAAATGATCTTATAAAACTTGACATAGACCCAAGTAATATCCCAGCATTTCTGGTTTTAATAAACATAACAGTAAAAGTGCGACAACCTCCAACAATTAAAGATAACAATGCTATTATAGTAGTCGCATTTACAGATTATGTAGATCAAGACTCATTTACTATTGAAATAAACTGTCACTACTTGGCATCTGCACCACATTTAATACAAATAACTCCTACTATAAAAAAGAATTTCATTCTTTTTATTTGTGGAGAATTCATTTCACACAACAATAATAATTATATACATGTCAGAAGTATGTCTTTTTTGGATCAACAAAAGACATTATTAAACCTCGTAAACATTCCATGGAAAACAGAAACATCAAATGAAACGATGAAATCTCAAAGTATCACTGAAAGAATAGCCGCAAGAGTTAACGCAAATAATAAAAGTGAAGAATCACCATCTGTGAGTAAAACCTCATACATAAACAAAACATCATCAACAAATAATAACCCTAACACCACTGTCTCTAAAAATAAAAAAAACCATCCACAATTAATAAAACAATAATCAAACCTTCATCCAAAATCACAAACTAAATACTCATACTAGAACTCATCGCAAACTAACAGATTTAGCGAAAGAAGTGCTAACTAATTCAAACCAGCCAGAAACAATATCTTCTCTGCTTACTAATATACAACTTGAAATAGGTAATACAATTAAAGATATGCCAATAATGCATAATAGTGTCTAATAAAAGATTTAACAATTTATCATTAGTATCATTTATTTAAATTTATTTATTATACAGTAAAAAAAAAAAAAATCATACTATATTAAACACTTTTTTTTTTTCTTTTTTCTTTTTATTTTCTTTCTTTTTTCTTTTTTTGTAAACATAAATATCAATCAATAAATATACTTCTGAACAGTTTTTTTTTTCTTACTATACTCATATATAAAATACCAAAGTAAATAACCAAAAAGATCGATTCAAATATAACCCTATAAATAATAAATGACCGTAAATAAAATTTAAGAATACTCTTTTAAGCTATCGACTTTGAATAACACTCAACCAAAACAACTGTAAAAATATAATAAATATTTCTAAAATCAAAACAAAATTATACCAAGCTTTAATAAAATATAAAAATAAATATCAATATTTATAAAACTAATTTAAATTTCTAATTGAACTTACCAATAAAATTCAAAATCACGTAAAAAGAACGTAATCTTAAAAACAAAAAGAAAATAAATAAAGCCAACAAAATATGATTCACGTATTTAATTTTTCTTTCAGAACTAAAAAAATATAATAATATTTAATTACTATACAAAATAAATACCATGCCACAATACCTTAACCTAAAAAAAAAAATAATAATTTTTCGCTAAATTAAAGAAGTTTAAATTTCGAAATTCTTTTTTTTTAATCCAACTTTTCTTTTTTTAACATTCATAAATAATAATTTGAATATCATTTTATTTCCCTAAATTTGATAAAGAACAACCCTTTACAAAAGTATCGATACATATGGCTCTTTAAACACGCCATTATATTCAACTATCCTTATCAGCTAAGACGAAGTTCACGCTATAACTATTTAATAAAATAAGCAAATTAATTATTGCTAAATTAAGAAAATTGTTATTGTTATTAAATATATTTAAAGAAATCATAAAATACGCACTAATAATTCTGCATGTAAAATACATCATGCATAATACAACAAAAAAATAAATAAATTAAAGCTATTTGACTTTATAGTTAGTAAATATAGTAAACCAAAAATTTATTACTATAAAAATCACGTTCATTCTAATATAAAATAATAAGTCGCATATGCATTAAACAAATCTAGATAAAATAAATAAAAATTCAATTTCAAACTAATTCACCCATGACAAAATTATAAACAATGATCTAACAAACAAACAGACAAACGAAAAACCTATATAAATAACTAAAATCAAATTCTCTTCAACAAAAATTCCTTTATTTTCAAACTACAGAAAAAACACTATTAACAATCAATCCAATTAACAAAATTAAAATATTTACTCATAAAATGTCTTTTATAAATCAAATCTATGAAATTGAACCTCTCAAATATGGCAAACAAACAATTAATTTAAACATTTCCAAAAATATAACATCACAATTAACATAAACAAAAAACAAATCACTACAGAATACACCACTACCTACAATTTGGTCAATTTCTACAAATATGCGTAAAATAATTGATCAATTCAAAAACACAATTTTACATCAATTTCCATGCCTCTCTTGTTCAATATGTTCCAAACTTATATATCCTGAAAAAGCCGAGTAGATTCCATGAAATCCAAATATTCAATACCCTATTATTACTGCATACCCAACTGAACACTTAATTACAAATCCTAACCCATCCACAAACCGAATTCCTATATGTACTTCGTGCAGAAATAATCAAACTTGCAACTTTCCACCTTACCTCTTTCAAATTCCACCAGAGATTAACTCAGTTCCATTGGAAAAACATAAATACCTATCACCTATATTTTTATATTGTTCCTTAGGTCATACACCTGGTGCAAATCCCTTTTCTGAATACAGATCATTAGTAGGTACTATGAATTATTCTCAAAACATACACACCTTTAATCTATATTTTGGAATACTAGATATATATTTAAACCTATCAACTGAATCCTCAACCACTAATCAAACCACACATCCACCATGGTTCGATAACTCACTAACAAATGCCACAAACTGGCTTAAAAAAAACAACTCATATCTACGTGCATACTCAAGAATGCTCCTTCTAAATTTAAATATAACTAATCCATTCCCAACAGCAACTCACTTACCTGATAATGAAGACGCTTCACCATTTCAACAAGGTGATATAGTAGTCCCTCACCAAGATTTTTCCACAGAAATACACAATGAAGATACACACTAGTCGATTAATGGCTGGCTTCTTAACAGATAACGAATCGAACAAAATTCCAATCACTTTAAATGATCCTCATCTTGAACCTTTGCTCTTTTCAGATCTATATCCTGATGATAGACATGGGTATTACTATAAAATGAGAAGTCAATTAGAAACTATTTATTATAATCATGATATATTCAGAAAATATATTAAACACGAGTTACTTTCCACAGATTCTCGATTTAGTTTACACCATTATTGGCCTGCATAGGCATATTTACAATTAGAAAAACTTAGAAACTTCCAAAATAAACAATAATTAATACGACAATTAGATATCAATACAACCCATAGTCCGCCTACAACCATCCAAATTATAGAAAGAAGCACATACACTGACGAATAGCACTATAACAAATCAAAAACTTATACAATACCCACTTTTATTCACACAGGAAGTACCTACTTTTAACAAAAAACAATACATCTAAATACCATGATCCACGAACTCAGCCTCCCAACTATATTCATCACACTGTCAATGGCCAAAGACCAATGGCAACATATCGATAATATCCTAACTAATACAGATAACAAAGACACTCTTCCAACTAATAGACCACTACACACAACTTTACACTTTATCTATAGACTACAAACCCTTAGAAAATATATATAGAAAGACCCCAATATTAGTGAATGGGAAACCTACACCTATTTCTTCGATAGAATAGAATTCCAAAATCGCAGAGCTGCATACTTGCATGATGTCTATTGGACAACTCATGTTATATCAACTATGATTAATATAAATACTATATGATCAAAACTACTAGATCCCAACCAAGAACCCAAACTTTATCAAAAAGTTCATATACTACAAATACACATGTGCAACTCAAAATGTGGAGGACCAGCATTACCAGGTTCTACATGTAAAAAAGATTTTCTCGCCTATTCGTACTTATTACAATCCATCAAACTACAGATATACATATCATTGTATAACACCAAAAAATCAATGGGTAGTCCCATATCATGCCCCAATCCTCATGATATGGAATGCTCATATGAATGCTCAATATATAACAAATAAAGAACTTGCACGATATATAACAAAGTATATTAGTAAACCAGAACCAACCCACCTGTTTAATATATATAACCAATCATATTATCGAGAATATATTCATGCTCACCGCATGGGGTCAATGGAACTTATGTTTCTATTACTTGGCGAAAAAATAATAAATTCATCAATACAAGTACAATACTTAACAACTGACCCTCCATCCATTCGCTCCAAAACTATCTTACCTCTACACATGATAAATCCATTAGATGACGACCCATTTTGGAATGACAAAATAAAAAAATATTTTGCCCAACCTCTTGATCCTATATTCAATAACATGACTTATAAAACTTATTATGAGTTATATGAAATTAAAAAAACAAACTTAAGCACATCCCAAAAAATATCATATCACGATCAACTAGGAAATACAGTAATAAAATGTACAAATCACATACTTACACATATGCGATTTTTACAACTAGAACATAGCGAATCATTTTTTTACCAACAACTAATATTAAGACTCCCTTGTAGATCAGAATCTGACTTATATGCTGAATTTTCTTCTTATCATGACCCACTTCTTAACTCGTTTTCCCAATATATGGGGTGGAGTCAATAGAATCTAGGCAAATTGTTTTTAGTAAGTTTTTTTAAAACTTTAAATTAAAATATCTTAACAATTATTAAATCAAACTTGATAAAAATTTTTTTATTTTAATTCTATAACTAAATAGAATTAAAATAAAAAAAAATTTATCAATTTTGGTTTAATAGTTGTTGAGATATTTTAATTTAAAGTCTAGAAAAAATTTACTTAAAAACAATTTGCCTGGATTCTATTGACTTCCCCCCATATATCAAACTATACAAGAACAAAACCGAGAATTCATTATAAACCAAATAACATATGCCACAAACCAATACAACACACTAATTAAAACAATAATCCTATCACTACAACCAATTATATTAACGAATATACTCGACTTAATCAAATCACAATTAAATTCAATTAAAATTCTACCATGAACCCCACCCTTAAATACAATGATAAACTTACCTCCAAGTCAATACCACTATATACAAACAATAATAAATTATTTGGGCCCACAAGACACCTCCTATTATCCCTATTTTTTTATAACAGGACTAGCAGAAGTTGGTAAATCTTTCATCATCTACCTATTAATAAACCACTTCCAAAGAACCAATCATAAATATTTACTAATAGCCTCTACAGGAATTGCTGCACAAAACATCAGTGGAACAACTATACATTCAGCACTAAAAATTATATCTGATGAACGTGAACTTTGTATACTTGCTTTTCATGATTCAAATTTCAGCAAAAATCTTCACCAAATCCACACACTTATTATTGAAGAAATTTCAATGGTGTCTGGTCCAATGTTAACTTACATTCGAATCACTTCATAAAAACAATCGCCCATTCAGAGCATAAACATAATAATAGTTGGCGACTTAGCACAATTACCACCCGTCCATGGCTCTCCCATATTCAAATCACAAATATGGAAAATCTTCTATCCCCTATTTTTACGTGAACCTCAATGACAAAACCAAGATCTAAACTTTTATAACATGTTACAAAACATAAGATTTGGATTAATTGATGACCATGTATGGCAAATGTTATTATATAAAAAAAACGAAACAACATCAACATCCCAAACAAATACAAACTTAAACACTACTCACATAGTTGGCTAATGAAAAACTACATACCAAATCAATGAAACAATATGTATAATGATACCTGTTCAAGATGATAAATTTTTAATTTCGACCTGTATTAATATTTATAACGGCTACACTTATAATAACAATGCAATGCATAACTTATTTAAAAACAAAACAAATTTACCTGAAATAGTAAGAATCCAACCAGATGCAAGAGTTATGTTTCTAAATAACTCCCAACATAAAGAACAAATTGCAAATGGCACTATAGGTATTATAACCGACATTGATCTAATATCAGAACTTGTCAACATCAATTTTTGTATCGAAGGTGCCATAATCAACATTTACTTCTCCAAATATACCAACAACTTTTTCATCAACAGATTATTTTCCAGTCGTACCCAATATCCTATACAAAATGCATTTGCTCTAAAAGTTCACAAAACTCAAGAATTAACTCTTCCATACATATCACTAAACCTTGACAATCAAATTTTTTAAACAGGTCAATCTTATGTAGCACTAAGTCGTTGTACTAAATGGGATCACATAAAAATATAATCACTAGACTGTATAGTATTTATGACAAATTCATCTATGGTAAGTGAATACAACAGATTAAAAAACATTGCAAGAAACCCACTCCCATTAAATAGAACTTAAATAATCAAAATATCACTCATATCCACAAACTTCATACTTATAATACCACCAAAAAAAAAAAACAAAAAAACAAAATCATTACTAAAACTACAAATACCAATATAATAATCAATCAACAACTTTTTTTGTTCAATCTTTCTCATACTAAAAAATAAAAAATAAAAAAAAATTTTAATAAAATCTCAAATGTACATCATCATTAATAAACTGTGCATATTAATCATTAACACGTCATTTATACCCATAATTAACCAACTATATTTCTTTATTAGCTTAATTTTACATCCCATAAACTTCATATAAAATTTTATTTTCCATATTCATATCAATAAGCTATAAAACAAGATAAAATAAAAAAATCTCACCCTCAACTATACACAATACCAAAACCGGCGGCAAAGCCGCCTACATGTGCTATGCTAGTTAAAAAAAAAATTGTAAACATTGATATATCGATATATGATTATTATGCCAATTTTATAAGTATATATATTACATAAATATTAAAATATGATTGGAGGAAATGATTGTACAACATGCATAACCTGATTTTAAATTTTGGAATCTGGTTCATACTTTACTGGGGTATGCGATATTAAATGATCAACAAATATAAGTTATACTCATATAGTAAATTAATATGATTGGATTTTTTCATAGTTTCACAAATTCTCTTTTCATTTTATCGTTATCGATATCTGTACTTAAAATTGACATATCATTATACAATCAACTCTCTTTACGTATAACACTCTCTTTACATATAACTAAACTTCTATAATAGGCTTTGGCCATAATGAACTAAAAGTTATAATAGTTCAGTTAAATTTTATACAATGAATGTTTTTTATATCCAGAACCAACTGCTCAATATAAAGAGTGTTGGCTGTGATTTTGTCAGAAAGCTTATTTGCATGTTACTAGCGACGTGAGTATATATATTTTGAGATTTTATTCTGATATATGTACTTTACAATAATAGCTTTTATTATTAATAGATACTTACCTGATTTTGTTATTTAAGCTCAGTGTTTAGTTCAAAGAGTAATGTTATTATATCAACATAAAAAATAAGCGGATGTCGAATCAAAAAAAAACTAAGAACGTATTAATTAGACTATTAAGAGAAAGATGAAGATTGTATTTTGATGTTAAAGGGTTAATGACGAAGTGTGAATTTTAAAAAGTATGTAAGCGAATAATTTAGTCTAAAAGTTTTAAAATCTTTTTAAGTTTTTTAATTGCAGTTTGTTCTCTATCAATAGCTTCATCTTCAATTATAGCTCTTTTCTGCTTATTTGTTAAACGAACATTTGATAGTTTTTCTAGAGTAAGTAA